TGCCAGGCGCGTGTGTGTGCCCAAGATCCCGAGAGGAGAATGGAGGAGAAGGGATCGCGGCGTGGCCAGCTCCCTGGGGAATGATTTCTCGCTTTCTGTCTCTCTGTCTCTGTCTCTCTGGCAAGGGCATGCACCCTGTAGCAAAAACCTCTCATAAAAAAAAAAGCGCCCCCCACTTGAGTAGGGGAGGTGACTGGGGTGGCGAGGCAGGATCCTGTCCCCTCGCATGTGGCCCCTGATCCTTGGCCAGCCCTGCGTGCCGTGGCTTCCCCATGTTCAGCAGAATCCGTGTTCACCTCCTGCCTGGTCCTCCACGTTTGGCTGTTCCCTGAGCCTGACCCGGCCCCAGCCCATGCCCCTGGTGCTATAACCCCACTGCAGGCTGCGGGAACGTTTGCATTTGGGTTTTTAGTTGTCCTAGCAGAGCAATATTTATGTTTTATTTGTCTTTTAACACCAGGGTGGGTTTTGTTGTGGTTGGGTTTAGGGATGCTCTTTTCAGAATGGGCTGGTTTGGGGCCTGGGATTCCAGGACCTATGTGGGGCTGGACTGAGAAGCTGCCAGCCACCCCCCTCTTCTGACACTCCCCCTTCCTCAGCACCGTGGACCTGCTAGACTGGAGCAGCCTCATCGACAGCAGGACCCAGCTCTCCAAGCACCTGGTGGTCCCCAACGCCCAGGTCATGCCTCCCTCTCAGCACCCAGCTCAGCAGGGAGTTCAGTTTGCCACTTGTGTTCCCTGTTGCTACCCTGGGGGTGCTGTGTGATCCAGACCAGTGTCCCCTCAGCCCCCTGGAAACCTTTGTGGTCCAGGAGGAAAGTGACAAACCCACTGGTGGCCAGAGTGCTTGGTGGGACAGAGACCCATGCAAAGCCTTGAGGTACCACAAGAGAGGGTGTCAGAGAGGCCTTCCTCAACTGCTCCTTATGTATTGCAGCATCCCAAAATCTAGCCTGAAATAGCAGCAAACACTTCATGTCCCCATCATGGTTCTGGAGTTGACAGGGCTCAGCTGGGCGGTTGTGCACAGAGGGTGAGGGGTTCAGTTGTCATGGAGGTTGCTTCTGGCTGTTGGCCTGGGCTTCCTCTCAACACGGCAGCTGGGTTTCAAGCTGTTCTAGCTTAGCTTTGTTGAGAGCGAGTTGTTAGGCCCGGGGAAGGGGAATGAGACTGACTTCAGTGTGGGAGGGTGCTCGGGAATGGACTGCTGAAACTACCTGGCTGGAATGGAGGAAGTGTCCTGCAAACGCCTTCACACTCCCAGCGCCAACTGATGCAGGCTCAGCCCCAAACTCTGAGCTGCTGACCTGGAGCCCCGGGTTCAGCACATTCAGAGTGACTCAGCTCTGAATTGGAGACTTAAGCAAAGCCCACGTGTGTCTAGGTGCTGTGTATACCTCCGGACTGATGGAAGGGTGTGCTTGCCAACACTGGGAGTGCCCTGGGCTGCACTGGCAGGCCGGTGGGGCCAGCAGAGGCCCCAGTAGCATAGGCCCTTTGGGGGTGTAAGGGGAGGGGGTCCTGCCACTGTTGGCCTGCCTGGGTCCTTAAAGGCCACCAACCTGTGAGGGTACCTCTGTGCCCTGCCATGAATCAGTGTGTGTGGCATGGCTGCCCCATCTGCCCGTGGCCATGGGTTCTTCCTCCTGAGCCCTCCCTGCTCTGGCCAAGCCCTTCCATTGACTGGGTGGTCAAGGTCCACTTGCTTAGTGTTGAATGGAAGCCGAGGCCACAGGAGCCAACACCTTGGAGCACACGCCCAACCTGAGGCCAGCTGGTAGGGGCACCGAGCTCCCCCGGGCGTGGCGTTCCATGTTCGGGTTCCTGACTTCATGTCAGAGTGCAGGAGGGGCAGGGTGAGGCGGCTGGTCCTGGAGACAGTGCAAGCAGGCCGAGGTGGCCCTGCTGGCCCAACATATGGGGGGCTGAGAGGGGACCTGAGGGCAGAGAGCAGCATTGCTGGGAGATGGGGTCTGGCCTTGAGGCAGAGCCTCCCAGGTTCCGCTGTGGCCTGACCGCGTGCTGCACCCCCAGACAGGCCAGCTGGAGCCCCTGCTGTCTCGGTTCACCGAGGAAGAGGAGATGCAGATGACGAGGATGCTGCAGAGGATGGACGTCCTGGCCCAGGTATAGGTCAGCGGGCTGGGCTCTGTGGACCTGGGGCGCGCGCAGTGGGTGGTGCCCACTGAGCCACGCACACGCCCTCTCCCACCCCTGCACCCCTCAGAAGGCCACGGAGGTGGGCGTGCGGCTGATGGTGGACGCTGAGCAGACCTACTTCCAGCCGGCCATCAGCCGCCTGACGCTGGAGATGCAGCGCAAGTTCAACGTGGAGAAACCGCTCATCTTCAACACCTACCAGTGCTACCTCAAGGTCCGGACCCTGGGGCGCATCCTAGTCCCTCTCCTGTGTGGCCTGACTGGCTTTTCCACAGCAGGGGCACCCCTCATCCGAGTCCTGTGGCATCTATCTGGCCCTGCTCTGAGTGCGGCCGAGGGCTTGTGGAACTGACCTAGGAGGACGTGGGCGGGGCTCTCAGTGGCTGCTGGGTCCCCTTCACCCATCCGACCCTGGGCTGGCACTTGGGCTCTAGGGATGAGGCCCCTGCCAAACAGCCATGCTTGGCTCTTCAGAGGAGGCTGAGGCCAAGGGTGACAGCTTCACAGCACAGAGAAAGGTCCTGTAGGCCTCCTCATCCCCTTCGTGCCAGCCTCCCCTCTGGGCCTCTGGACCTAGACGCAACTGTTCTGGGGGCAGGAGGAAGACAAAGGCGCTTTTCAGAGTCCCCATCATGAGCCTTCAGCCCCAGATTTAGGAGGCCTCGTGATAATCATTTCCTTCCTCTTGCTTTTAGTCCACGGCCCTTTGAGAATCTGGTGAAAGCTCTGAGCCCCTCCCCAGATCACCTAGAGATGTGTATTTGGGGAGCCCAGGGGTGCTTCAGGGCAGGACCCCAAGCCCAGCCCTGGTTCAGCCCGAGGGTGCTAAACTGTGCCCACACGCCATGGGCAAGTCCAGAGCTTATAGAAGCACCCAGGCTCCTGGAGCACCTGGGTGGTGTGGGGTGCAGGTAGGTGCCCCAACCTGTGCTCCCAGTGCATGGTGCCTGCTGGCAGGTAGGGACAGAGGTCACAGGGCAGCCCCACCCCACCTGGCTCCCAGATGCCCTGAGCTGCACTTCTCTTAGTAGGTGCTGCCCAGCGTGGGTGCTCCCGGGCCCCGGGAGGTCTCCATCCCACCTTTGTCAAGGCCGGGCCAAGCTCCCTGACTCCCTGATGTTGGTGCCCCTGACCTCACAGGATGCCTATGACAATGTGACCCTGGACGTGGAGCTGGCTCGCCGCGAGGGCTGGTGTTTTGGAGCCAAGCTGGTGCGGGGGGCGTACATGGCCCAGGAGCGTGCCCGGGCTGCAGAGATCGGCTACGAGGACCCCATCAACCCCACGTACGAGGCCACCAACGCCATGTACCACAGGTGCGCCAGCCTGCTCCTACCTTCTGGGGCCGCCGAGGGACGGGCCCGGGCTAGGACCGGAATCCCCCCACAGGAGCGTGAGTGGTGTGTTCTGAGGTCAGAACTGGTATTTCTTCAGCTTTGTGTCCCTTTTTCAAAAACATCGAAGGTTTTTCTTTGGTTCCGTCTACTGAACAAAAGTGGCTGCGTCCCCCGTAGGTGGCCCTGACTGCACCCGGGCGTCCAGCCTGTGTGCTCTCTAGCTCCCTCTGCAGGTCAGTGGTTGTCCTGCTCCTGTTTTCTTTGCTCTGTTCATCTGGGTGGTCCTTTCACGGGGACCCAGAGACCGCCACTCACTTCCCCTCTCCTGGAGGGTGTGTTTGCACATTGCATTCAGAGGCCCTAAGCATCTCCTTGCAGGCCCCAGCTCCCTTCCTGGTAGCACCTGCTCCCGGGGGCCCAGGGTGCCCGTCCATCCGCACCACGCACATCTGCCCTGCCGTGTCGTGTTGACATTGCACGCTGTCCTTTGCCCCTCGCGTTTTTCATTTAACGCTCCACCTGCGCCGGCCCGTGTCAGCACACAGTGGCGTCCTTCCACCAGCGTGCCCTGGTCTCTGTTTATCTTGTCTTTGGTTTCCACCCGGTTGTTACGACAGGGACTCGCTGAGTGTCCTGTCCCCCTGTGCCATGCACACGTGCTGTCGGCAGTTCTTTGTGTCTGAGGCCACGGCTGTTGCGTGTTTCTGGAAAGGGAACTGCGGGTCGGGGACCATCAAGCCTGCTGACTGTCCTCACTGCACAGCACAGTATGGTCGTCACTGCCCCGGGGACAGAAGTGCCCACCCTGTCCGCCGCCTCCAGGGACCTGCTTCCCTTACCTCCTCACAGGGCTGCCAGTGCACTGTAGGGTCCCTAACCCAAGTCACCCAGCGTCCCCACCACCATGGAGGGATGGCCGTTTGGTGGGGGAGGCTGCGCCCCAGCTGGTTCTTCTCCACAACCCCTCTGAACCCAGCTGTTGCTTGCATGCTCTTGGTCATGAGTCTCTTCCATGACGTGCTGGAGAGGGGCAGATGCTGTGCCCATTCCGTCCGACACCGGGGGCACATGTGGGTGGAGCCAGCTCACTGGACAGCCCTGGGCCTGCCTGAGGCCTCCCCCACCGTCAGCCGTGCCGGCTGCCAGCCCAGGCTCACCTGGCACTCTCCCCAGGTGCCTCGATTACGTGCTGGAGGAGCTGAAGCAGAATGCCAAGGCCAAGGTGATGGTGGCGTCCCACAACGAGGACACGGTGTGCTTCACGCTGCGCAGGTCGGTGCTGCCCCGCCGGAGCTCTCGCCATGGCTGGGGAGGGAGCGTGGCCCAGGGCCGGGGCGTGTAGGTGATTGTCAGGCCTGCTGGGGTGCTCCGGGCGGTCTGTGGAACGAGCTGGCATGACAGATTCGTGCCCCATGGGCCCTGGGTCCAGGGGCGAACGTTCTAGACCCTGTACAGGAGCAGGAAGGCTGTCTGCAGTTATTCTGCCTTTTTTTTTTTTTTTAAATGAATACTTGACTTTGTAGTAAAGCTTCGAATTCAACATCTAGATTTCATTAGGTGATTTAAATAGCTTGTTGAAATGTACAAACACGGTGTTAAATCTTGGAGCCCCACAGGGGGCCTGGACTGCACTGCCTCATTTACAAACAGCTTCCCTCAACTCCTAAACTGCATTTGGAATTGAATGGAGTCTCTTTATTAGTATTTTTAAAAATCTTGCTAGAGGGAGAGTGTCCTCACTAGAGAGAGAGGGAAAGTGAGAGAGCACCCTCCGCAGGGGATGGCCACACCACGCTCCCTTCCCCTTCTCTTCTTTCTGCATGCGCATATACCTGGTGTGTTTTTCAAGGTCTGGGTTCGAGACTTGAACCGGGTAGTTAACCATGTGGGATCCAGCTGCCTTAACCACCGTGCCACTGGCTAGGCTTCTATATATTTTTCGTTTATTTCCTCCGTGAGAGAGAGGAGGAGGGAGACAAACACAGACCACAGACTAGAAGAGACGGCACCCACAGCAGGGCCTTCACACCACAGCTCACCCGGCCTCAGCCAGCCTTGGTCACCCGTGCCAGGTGTGACTCCGTGGCCTGCCCCCCGTGGGCCCAGCATTATAGAGCGCTGTAGTAACGCCGCACCACTGGCTGGTCTTTAAATGTTTGTCCCATGGAGCCAAACTTGAGTAGAATTCTAATGAGTCAAATACAAAACTAAGGTGAGATGAATTCTTTTTTTTTTTTTTTTTTTAGAATTATTTAATTTTGCTTACTATTTTAATTCACCAGAGACACAGAGAGAGGGAAAGTGAGAAAACAAGCTACCAGGTCCAGGATTTGAACCATGGTCGGCTATGTGGGAGTCCAGCGCATCAACCACCATGCCGCCACCTGCTGGCCCTCAAATGAATTCTTAAATATTCCTGGCTATTACCATGGTCACATCTCACACCCTGATCTAAGCAATGCCTGCACAGGGACCCTCACCCTCCCCGGGAGCCTGGCTAGTGACTCCACCCATAGTGGGAGGCCCTAATAGACAGGGCTCCCAGTGAAGCTGGGCAGTTGGGCCAAGAAGTCGTTGGACTCGGACCCTGACCAGAAACACAAGAGTCCACAGGCTAGTCTTCAAGGGCTAGCCTGGCCCCATCAGGAGGCCCCTGAATCTCCCGCTGAGAACCTGTCCTCACCATGCTGCCCCGTGGTGGCCTGCTAGCTGTTCTCTCTCTCCGTTCTCCGGAGCAGTAGCCAAGCTCCCTTCCTTTCTAGCACCCCCAGGACCTTGGGCTGGGCTCCCCGAGCGCCATGCTTCCAATGGTGGCCAAGAAGGCTCAGACCCTATAGGCCGTGGTCCTGTGCTCCTGCTCTGAGCATCTGGGGTCGCCTCTCCAGGGGCAGCTACGCTGTCTCTGGCCGGCTCCGGTCACCTCGCCACGCATTCAGGCACCTAACAGCCCAGGACGCAGAGTCTGGGGCGGCAGCTGGTGCCGTGGGTCGGCGGGTGGCTGGCTCAGCTGGGTCCCTCCTGTGCCTGCCGTCAGCTGGGGGCCGGCCGGCCCTTCAGGATCTCACTTGTGGCTGGGGCAACACAGGGCAGTACTATGGGTCCAGTGCCCTGGAGGCCGGCCTTCGCGATGTTGTGTGGTGGGTTCGGGCTTCCAGAAGCCCCGGAGAGGACAAGGCTTGCCATATCACGGTGGCCACTGTACCATTGGCCAGAGTCTGTCACAAGGCCAGGTCCAGATGTTAGGGGGAGACACCAGTCACACAGCAGAGGCCGTCCACACTGGCAAAGGAGGGGCCGTCGCTGTCCTTGCTGCTGCCGTGTACGTCCACCACAGCCTGAGACTCGGGCAGCCAGCCTGAGGTGGCCACGGGCCCATGCTCTAGTGAGGGGGAAAGACTGGAGGCCAGGTGACATGGTGGGGACTGCGGCCCTTAGATGGGCGGCCCAAACACTGGAGCCCAGTTCAGGGAAGGGGCTGCGGGCCAGCTGCCCGCAGAGGTCCCAGGAACGCTGGGGCACCAGGGGTGGGAGCCCTGAGACAGTGACCGTCACGGGTGGCCGGCTATGTGGGGAGGACCCAGCTGGTCATGCCCCGGGCTGGGGGCTCCAGAGTGTGCTGAGCCTGGACAGGGACACCTAGGAAGCCAGGAGGACATGGAGTCACCAGCCACCGACACTGTGGACCCTGGGAATTGTCTAAGATCCTTTAAGAGGTGGTGTGAAGAGTCGGGGCTCCCCAACATCTGAGCAGCTCTGTCTAATAGAAACTACACTTGATCGGGATCAGCAGTTAGCCTAATGGCTATGTCACTGGACTCAACCGCGGTTCGAGTCCCGCACCCGGTGGCTTAAACTCACACCGGGCGCGTGTGTGTGCGTGCCCAAGAACCCGAGAGGAAAATGGAGGAGAAAGGATTGCGGCGTGGCCATCCTCCCTGGGGGTAATTTCTCGCTTTCTGTCTCTCTGTCTCTCTCGGGCTGGCTGGCGTGTGCACGTGCCCTATAGCAAAAACCTCTCCAAAAAAAAAAAAGAAACTACACTTGATCTTAGCCAAAAGGCCAAGAGACATACCTAACAGAAGCATGATGTGAGCCGTATCTGTCATCTTTCATCTAATAGCCACATCAAAAGAAAAAGGTGATCATGCCAAGAAAACACTTTATTTGACCCAGTGCACCCAAAGTACAGTATTTACAGTTTCTGTGTACACTCAGACCTTCAGGAAAGCTACGGGATGTCCCAACCCCCACATGCATCTGACACATGGCCACTTTCCAAGGACTTGGGCCATAAGTGGCAAGTGGCTAGGTCCGGGCAGAGCAGCCGTGGAGACGGCGCAGTGGGGCAGCCTGCACGGGGAACCTGGGGTGGAGCCAGGGACCAGTCATAAAAGGAAACTCAGAGGGGCTCCAGGCGAGCCATGGGAGCAGGGGGGAGCTTCCCTGGGCCCCAGGATGTGTGCTCTGCCCTGTGGGTCCAGGGCGCTGGGAGGGGATGGAGGGAACCCTGCTGGCCAGGACCAGGGGCCTCCAGAGAGCTGTGGCCTGGGAGCAGCGGAGTCCTGCAGAGGCTGCGGCTGGAGTGTGTGCGTGCATGTTGGGGGCCTAGGGTGGCAGGAGGGGCCGGCTGCTCACCTGCCGGGCCTCCCTCCCTCACAGGATGGAAGAACTGGGCCTGCATCCTGCCGACCGCCAGGTCTACTTCGGACAGCTGCTGGGCATGTGCGACCAGATCAGCTTCCCGCTGGGTGAGCTGGGCCCCCTGGGCTGGGCCGGGGCAGGGTGCCCGGTGCCGGGGGCTGGGACTCACAGCATGTGCCGTGTGTGCAGGCCAGGCGGGCTTCCCGGTGTACAAGTACGTGCCCTACGGCCCCGTGATGGAGGTGCTGCCCTGCCTGTCCCGCCGTGCCATGGAGAACAGCGGCATCATGAAGGGCGCCCAGCGGGAGCGGCAGTTGCTCTGGGAGGAGCGCAAGACCGGTGACCTCTTCTACCGCCCGGCCTAGATGCAGCTTTGCCACCACTGCCGCGTTTGGGCCCTTAGTCCAGGGCAGGGATTTGGAGGGGGGTCTGGGTGACCCTGGGGCCCCCAGCACAGCTGCAGCCCAACCCCCACCACGACCTCACCAGGATCGAGTCCTGTGGGGCGGGGGGCAGCTGCGTCCGTGTCTTTCCCACCAGCTCTGCCCAGGGCGTGGGTGCTTAGCTGTGGGCCGGGTCCAACCCTGCAGAGCTGCCCTTCAGTGAGTGGGCATGGGCCCCACCTCTGTCATCCCCCGTATCCCGGGACTCAAAGGACTGCCTCCTGCCCTGTCTGACCTACACTCTCCGAACCCTGCGTGTGGGGAGCAGCCAGGCCGGGGAAGCCACCTGGTCAGTAAACCACTGTTCACGGCCCAGAGCCATCGGCTACCTCGGTGTCATTGCGGGGTGGGGCCAGCTCTAGGCAGCAGAGGGGCACTGGGATGGAAGCCTCACCTTCAGGCTCTGGCCTCTGCCTGCCCCTGGGGGCCAGGCCCACCATGGGTGGGGCAGGCAACACCTGTCTGGCTGCCATGCCAAACCAGCCACCTGGGGGGCAGATACCGCTCACCCTGATTTTGCAACCCAGGGCCCATGGGCTCAGTCAGCACAGAGGGCATGCAGGCAGCTGCTGGGCTATGCTCCGGGGGTGGCCTGTACTCCCACTCAGGCCCTGGGCCTTCCCCCTTAAGGCTTTGCCCCAGCAGCCTCTGGCCTGCATAGGCCCTTGACCAAGCTGCTCACAGCCCCAGCCCTGCAACACAGCAGGCTGGGTGGGGATATAGGGGAATAGCTGTCACAGTGTCATGGGACCAGGAGGCTCCAAGTCAGTCCTAGAGGACTGGAGATGGTGGGAGGCACAGCAGGGAGGGGAGCCCAGCAGAGGCCTCTGTGTAGTGGGGCCGCATCTGGGGCTGTGCTCAGACCAGGTGAGGGCCGGACCTGAGCCCAGTTGCAGCAGAAACCCCCTGCCACAGAGACCACAGGGAGCTGTCCTGAGGAGTCTTTATTTCTCTGTCACTCAGAGCCTCCTGCCTTGGGCTGCAGCCACCGAGGGAGGGGCCGAGCTGTGAGCGAGCGCTGAGCCTGGGCCTGGCGGAGGCTGGAGGGTGCCCGTGGAGTGAGAAGGTGCTGGAATGTCCAGCCCTACTCCGCCCACCCCAGGCAGGCTACTCCTCTGTGACACATCTAGCGCTTTGACAGAAAACCCAGATGGGTGGGAGACAGGGCAGCGAGGACCCGCTGGGGTCTCCTCAGAAGGCCGCCCCTGCAGGCAGCTGGAGGACAGTGGCCAAACCTCATGGGGATGAGCGCCGCTCGGCTTCCTGCTGCCTGTGGTGATGGTGGGATGCGCAGGAGGTGGACAGCGGGGACCTCGTCTGGTCACAGGGCTGCCTGCCCCGCCTGGCAGCCCCTCTGCTGCAGCTTCCGGATCAGCTCTAGCAGGTTCATCTGCAGCGTCAGCTCCTGGGAGACCGAGGGGCCAGAACGACTCTCTGTGCCCCTGGTCCCACCCAGAGGGAGCCACGGCTGCAGCCGGCCAGGAGGAACGGAAATGGGCCCCCACCCCCGGTAGGGCCAACAGTTCCCTGCTGGGTACTCGGTGGGGCGTGGAGGGGAGAGGAGACAGGTCTTCCCGTGTACCCCCCTTAGCTAGGGTGCAGTTGGCAGGGGAGGGGCATGTCCCCACGGTCAGTCGTGCCCTTTCCTGTGGGCAGAAACCCTTCCTGGAGTCTCAGCTCCATCTTAATCCCCACCCCCTCAGTCCCCCACCCTCACCCCAGGCCTGGCTCCCCAGATGGAACTGGGCCTTTAGGGACCAGTGGCATCTGGGCCGGGGTAGGCCCAGGTGCTGACCTGAGGGTTCGTGGTCACGTAGAAGCCGGCCACCCCTGCCTTCTCGAGTGTGCTCTGCTGGTCGGCCACCTTCCGGTCCAGCTCCAGGACGATCTTCCGGTCCATCGCCCTCTGCTCCTCACGGATCCGGTGCTCCACGGCCTGCCGTGACGAGCAGGGACAACCCAGGCTCGGCCCTGCCCCTCCGCGGTCCCCGCCTCAAACTCTGCTGTGGCCTGCACTCTGCACTTCGCATCCATCCCAGCAGCCCAGCCCCAGGCGGGAACCACGGCTGTGTCCCCACCACACCCAGGCCTCCGCCTTCTTCCCGTCATTCTGAAGCCTGCAGGGCTTGGGGAGGCCCCCACATGCCCAGCTGGGCGCTCCAGCACATCTGTGTCTGCCCTGCCTGGGCTCGTTGGTTAAGGGCCTGTCTCCACCTATCTCTGAGCTCTGGGAGGATTAGGGCCTCTCCCTGCTGGCCCTGTCACCCTGCCAACGTCCTTGCACCCCGGAGGCCACCAAACTCCCCACTCAGCACCTGCTCCGTGCAGACCCTGGGGCAAGGAGGTGCTGTGTCAGGGCAGGGCGGTAACAGATGAGCCTTGGTGTCCACACAGCCAGGGCACCCGGAGCCTCACACATGGGGCAGCCACATGCTGGGACCCGCCAGGCCTCAGAGGCCCACCCTGCCCTTGTCAGCAGAGCCAGGCAGTGCCCAGAAGGAGGCGCTGAGCCCAAGCCCGCCCCCCGAGCCCCCCGTACGCCCAGAAGGAGGCGCTGAGCCCAAGCCCGCCACCCGAGCCCCCCGTTTCTCCAGCTCCCGCTGCTGAGCTGCCTGGAGCACAGGCAGGTTGTGGGGGCGGCAGGCCTGCTGGGCCTCCTGGTGCTTCTGCCGCAGCGCCTGCCTGAGCACTGGGAAGGGGCAAGAACCCGTCAGCAGGTGGGGAGAGGGCCCAGGGCCCAGCTATCTTGGCGCCTGAACTGCCAACCCCCACCCCACAGCAGCCAGTCCAAAGGGGGCGATGGGAAGCCTGGCCCCCTGACCTCACCCCATGCTGAAGTTCTGCACTGGGAGCTGGGCAGACCTCTGGCCCACGCCAGGGCCGCTCAGTTCTCCCGGGCCTGCCCTCATTCCGGGCAGGGCCTCCCTTTGTCAGAGGGACCCCAGAAGATACAGGATGCTGAAGGAGGGGGGGCGGGGAAGGCTGGCATCGGGTGGGATCAGAGCTGCAGTCATGGCAGGGGGTGGAGGAGGTGGGTGGGAGAGAGGCTTCTGCGTTATAGAGGCTTCTTGGCTCATGATCACGGGCAGCAGTCCTAGGTGTGGCCTGCCCTAGCACCCATGGGACACTAGCATCCAGCAGGCCACCCAGGCAAATGCCTTAGGGAGGAGGGGAGGATGAGAGGGCCCCCATGCGGCAGTATGGGGCCTCTTCTGCAGGGGTGTGGCTGTGCCTCTAATCCCTGATGCTCTGCCCTTCAGCGTGGGCCACTGTCCGCCCTCTCCCGCCCCCAGCAGCTGGAGGAAGCAGGGTGGGCACAGACCCGGCAGGCCCAGGCTGGGATGAACCTGCAGAGGCTCTGTGCTGTGGAGCAGAGCCCCAGGTCCCCACGAAGCTGCCACAAACACACCTGTGCAAACTGACTAGTCTGACAAGGGGACGAATCCACCATCCCGAACAGAATCCACCACTCGGTGCAGCCTGGGCCGGGCCAGCAAGCGTCCAGCAGCTCCATCTCACCGGGAAGGAGGGGAGGGAACACTAGACCCAGTGCTCTGTCCCTGAGACCTCAACTACAGTGTTTCTGGGGAGAGTCCGTGAGGGTCCCCGCAGGGTGCCAGGCCCTCACTGTGCCCACAGCCTTCGCCATGTCCAGTCCTCGGCTTTGTGCAGCCTTCCACAATGGCTCATCACACTAAACGTGTTTGAAACCAAGAGCCACCCTCGGGACAGCTCCATAAATGAAGGAACAAGCAAGAGACTCCCTAATTGTCTGGTTCCGGCTACACGAGGTGCAGGCAGGCTGCCAGGAAACAGACAGATGCAGGGAAATGTCGCCTCCTTCACTCCATTTATCAAACGTCGCTAGGAGTCCCAGGCTGGCGCCCGGACCCCACTGGGTGAGCAACTGAGAGGAAAGAGGAAAGCAGATGGCGAGATGGCGGCTGCCCGGGCAGAAGGGACCCCACCTCACCACGGCTAAGGAAGCAAAGGCAGCCACAGCCAGCCGTCCCTGCACCAGCCGGGAGCAGGAGGAGCCGCGGAAAGTGAAGGCAGCTCATCCACTGCCTCCCCGGCCTCACCCTGTCCCGAAGCCCTGCCCTGGGAAACTGAGTAACCCTGCCCAGGTGGGGCCCCTCGGAGGGCAGTACGACCCTGTTGAGGGTTCCTCCCTCTCTCCCTCATGAAAGAAACCTTTTAAAAAACGGGTAATAAGGGGCCGGAAGGTGATGTGGTAGTTAAAGGCTCTGGACTTTCACATGACCGACCGTAGTTCAAGTCCCGGACCTGGTGGCTTGCTTTCTCACTTTCCCTCTGTGTCTCTGATCAAACTGGAAAATAATAATAAAGTTAAATAAAATAGTGCTTTAAAAAAATCGCCTTTAAATAATGGGTAATAAGGGGACCAGCAGGTGGCATGGTGGTTAAGGCACTGGACACTTCCACAGGGCCGACTATGGTTTCAAGTCCTGGACCTGGTGGCTTGCTTTCTCACTTCCCCTCTCTGTCTCTCTCTGGTCAAAATAAATGAATGAATAAATAAAATCAAAAGAAATTAAATAATTCTTTAAAAAGATGTTAATATAATTTTTTTCAATTGCCAGAGGGCACGTGTGCTAGCCAGAGAGAGAGAGAGGAGAACCCCCCCATGGGATGTGGTCACACTGCAATCCTCTATTCTCCATCCTGCTGGAATTTGGGGGAAGACCCCCAGAGGACTACCCCCGCAGCACAGCATGTTTGTTCCACCCCCAGGAAGATCTGAGCTGTGTGGTCAGCCAGGTGATCTGGCTCCCTTAACCACTAGGTATAGAGTAGGTGCACTCACCAAACAGAGAGAAAGAAAGCGAGAAATTACCCCCCACGGGGGATGGCCACGCCAATCCCTTCTCCTCCATTCTCCTCTCGGGATCTTGGGCACGCATGCACATGTGCCCATGTGAGTTTAAGCCACTGGGTCCGGGACGCGAACCACGGTCGACTATGTGGGAGTCCAGCGACACAGCTGTTACGCCAACTGCTAGTCGCCCAAAATCGATTTTTAAAAATTAAAAGAAATGTCAAAATAGGACCAGCTGATGGTGTGATGGTTAAGACAGCTGGTTCTCACATGGCTAACTGAACAGTTCGAGTCTTGGACCTGGTGGCCTGAAAAACATGCTGGGTGCGCGTGTGTGTGTAGCCAACATCCCAAGACAAGAACTGAGAAGGAACTGCGGTGTGTCCACTTCTATCTCTCTGTTTCTCTCTGGCAAGCACACGTGTCCTATAGCAGAACTGAAAAATAAAATAAACCAGGCTCCATGGAGAAATGGCTGGTCCCAGGATGGAGGCAGGGAAAGAAAGAATGAGAAACAAGGGACCAGCAGTTAACGTAATGGCTATGTCATTGGACTCCCATGTAGTCAACCGCGGTTCCAGTCCTGGACCCGGTGGCTTAAACTCACTCTGGGCGCATGTGCGTGCGTACCCAAGATCCCGAGAGGGGAATGGAGAAAAAGGAACTGCGGCGTGGCTATCCCTCCTGGGGGGGGGGGGATTTCTTGCTTTCTGTCTCTCTGTCTCTCTCTCTCTTGGGCAAGCACACAGGTCCTATAGCAAAAACCTCTTTAAAAAAAAAAAAAGAGAAACGGTGAGCTGAATACTTTCCTATACCAGAAAGCAAGGGATTGCTCAAAGAATGGTGGAATGCATCAAAAGGGAGCCAGCCTGAAGCTCCCCCACTGGCCAGACCTGCACATCTGAGCACTGAAAAAGAATGACCTGGCACAGTTTGAGTATTAAAAAGAGAAACGAGTATTCAAAGAATGCCGACCCACATACTATAGGTATCTTATATCTTGACACAAATGCTCAAAAAGACAATTGCCTAAACCTTTTGGGAAGAAGTCATAGTTGGTTCTGCACAAACTCTTCCTGGAAACATGAAGTGAAAACTCACCCCGTGAGGCCAGCCTTACCTCGACACCCAAACCAGACGAAGACATCGAAACTGCAACCAATGCCCATGGTGAATACAGAGGCAAAAGTTCTTAAGGTTTTAGTCAATCCAACCCAATATGTAAATAAATACATGAAGTCGCTGGGAAAGTCGTGACATAATTTTCTAAAAAAACACGTGTCATGGCTTTCTCGACCCAATATATAACCCCAAAAGGATTGATCCCAGCAACGCAGCTGATCCCAGGAACTCAAATATCAATGTAACCTACCATAGTAACAGAAAAACCACCTGACCATGTCACTAGGTGCTAAAACAGGATTGGACAAAACCTAACGTCCCCTTCTGGGAAAAAAAATGCACGAATTCTGGGCCAGAGGGTAATCACGTGTCCTCACGGGGAGAGGGCTCAGCATCAGGAGGAGCTGGTGTTTTTTTTTTTTTTTTTTGGCTACCACCACTGCATCTAATCAGGCCTACCTCCTGCCCACTTCACAGGAAACACGAGGATGGAGAAACAGGTTAAATGACAGCAGGGGGAAGCAGGCCAGCACATCTAGAGGGAGGATATCCTGCAGGAAGAATGCCCGAACACTTCAAAACGTCAGCCCCACGATGAATGTTGCAGAAGCAGAGAACAATGGCGTGAACTGGATCATGACGGGACCAGATCCTTATAAAGTGACAATTTGACCCAAGTTAGGTAACGTGATAACAGACAAAAGGCCAGAGACACCCGAACAGTTAACCTCTCCGGAGGCTACCACCGTGATGGTGTAGGGCAGTACTCTTATTCTAGAACACGTGTTCCCAGTCCCAGGCCAAGACTGGCCCTCACTGCGGTCTGGAGCCCTTTTTTGGTTGTCACGACCTGGGGAGGGTGCCTCCCCCCACCCTGCAACGCACAGGATGTTTCACCACATTCCGGCCACAGATACCAAGGGCTGTGTCGAAAATCTTGGTGAAGGGCTAACGGTGTCACATTATTTAGGGGTATAAAGAACCTAGGGACCAGCAGTTAGCATCATGGTTATGTCGCTGAACTCCCATGTAGTTGACCGCGGTTCGAGTCCCGGACCTGGTGGCTTAAACTCACGCTGGGTGCGTGTGTGTTATTTCTTGCTTTCTGTCTCTCTGTCTCTCTCTGTCTGTCTGGAGAGCGCACGCGCCCTATAGCAAAAACCTCTCCAAAACAAAAGAAAACAAAAAAGAACCTCATGTTAAATACGGAATCTAGGCAGAGTAGGCAGGGTATTGGTTATATTATTATGTCAACTCTTTGAAAGGTTTGAATTTTTGTTTTAAGAAGTTTGGGGAAAAATAAAATAGCAGAGGTGGACACCTGAAAGAGCACCGGGAGCTGCCCAGTATACTTTGCAGGAAAGGGCTCCGGTGGGGCCGAGGGACCAGCAGTTAACCTAATGGCTATTTCGCTGGACTCCCATGTAGTCAACCGTGGTTCGAGTTCCGGACCCGGTGGCTTAAACTCACACTGGGCGCGTGTGTGTGCGTGCCCAAGATCCCGAGAGGAGAATGGAGGAGCAGGGATTGCAGCGTGGCCATCCCCCCTGGGGGGTGATTTCTCGCTCTCTGCCTCTCTGTCTCTTGTCTTTCTGGTGAGGGCACGCACCCTATAGCAAAAACCTCTCCAGAAAAAAGAAAAAAAAAGGAAAGGGCTCTGGTGTGGCTGGGCAGTGGCTCAAGTAGGAAGTTCTTAAGAGTCAGCTGGTGTAATGGCTACGTCGCTGGACTCCCATGTACCGGTTCGAGTCCGGATCCGGTGGCTTAAACTCACTCCGGGCACGTGTGCGTGCATGCCCAAGATCCCGAGAGGAGAATGGGGGAGAAGGGATGGGGGAGAAGGGATTGTGGCGTGGCCATCCCCCCTGGGGGGTGATTTCTTGCTTTCTGTCTCTCTGGCGAGCGCGCGCCCCCTATAGCAAAAAAAAAAAAAAAACTAAAAAAAAAGGGGGGGGGTAGGTCCCTGAAGGAGCCACTGGGAACAGTGCTCAAGAATTTGATGAGCAGTCTGTGTGGTGCTGTACGAGGCCAGAGAGGGAACTGCTAAAGGGCGCGGCAGAGCTGTCAAGCGACACTCAGTGCCGGGGACATGGGCCAATCCAAGCACCCAGGCCTTGAGCATCCTGTCTAGAAGGGGCTGGCGGCACAGGGAAGCCGAGGAGGAGGAGGAGGAGGAGGAGGAGGTTTCTCAATGTCATGCTAAGAATGGGATTGTGCGACTGACAACAGTGGTTCGACCCCCTGGCCACCAAAACGGGACACTCGAAAGCTCCGTGCACTTGAGGCGGCCAATCTCAAAGACCTCTGCCGAGGAACGCCAGGCACCCGGGGAAAGGCCCGACCTGCACAGGGGCTGAGCGCTTCCCAGGCGGGGCCGTCTCCAGGAGTGTGCGCCGCCCCGCCGCCCCCGCGCACCTCGGTGCTCGTTCTGCAGCCGCAGGCGCTGGTTGTACAGGCTCTTCTCGGTGAGGTGCTGGATCTCCAGCAGCCCCTGCACGATCTCGAACACGGTGCCGTCGAGGAGCGCCAGGGCCAGGTCGCTGAGCGTGGTGTAGGACAGGCGCTGCTGGAAGGAGCTGCGGGCAGAGCGGAGCGGGGCGGTGAGCGCCGCGGCGCCGGGTG